ATTATTATTATTTTCCTTTGGGGAAAAGGTGAGTTAAGTTTTAGTAGATAGTGTGTTTCTGCTTTCAAGATGGCACAAAAGATCAGAGGCTTTGGCACGAGGTAGACTTTTTCTGTCATTCTGAAGCCACTTAAGGAGAAAACAGAATATGCCAAAACAATAGTAAAGCAATCTTTCTAAGAAATGGAAGAGGATTCTTTCCAGGATCGCATCCTATAGAGAATCTAAGCAACCACACCAAACCCTTCGGTACGCACCCAAGATTCAAGTGTTTCAGCTTCTGAAGGCTGCTGATTTGGGTAGGCAGCTCCTCAATCTGATTGTTGAAGAAGTTGAGTACTTCTAAATTCCTTAGGTCTGCAATGTTTGGAGGCACAGCTGTAAAGATAAAGAAATTATGTTATAAACAAGGTGGGACACATGGAAAACACCCCAGGACTCTGAACTGGGATTTATGAAATTTAAGGATTCTGTGTTTGTGCTGTGGAGCAAAAAAAAACTTCAGTTCACCCAGGCCCTTTCATTTTGATGTCACAGAAAACTAGAGTTTGATTCAAGCCTTCCAAGGTCCAAAAATCCTTCAACTGCACTCCATGCACAAGTGAAGAAGGTGAGCATGCATGTACAGAAATGAGCTGCTTTCATGCTCATCACAGATAAACCACTCTTTGTGATGCTCGAATGCAGCCAGCACTTGGGGATTTAGTGACAAGTTCAATAACTGGCATATACAGTTAAAAGGGGCCTTGGTAGCAGGTCATGGTAAAGCCCATAATTCTTCCCAAGCCTGTGGACAGTTAGAGCAAGTCAGAGTAGACAGTAATCCAACTTGGTACAAGACAGCATTATGTGTTCAAAATGTATCACCCTAATTTCTTTGGACCAGCAATTTTGCCCAAAAGCAATTACAGGCCCCAGTCACACAGGCCAGATAACGCGGAGGGGAGGCGTGGCTCTTTGCGCCGGTGCAATTAGACCCGCCAGAACACGATCAGATGTGACGGTGGCACACCACGGTTTTGTCCGTCAGCACGTGCGTGTCAAGGAGGACAGCCGACGCAATCACACGGAATGATTCCGTAGGCAGCCCGTGGCAAACCATTTGCTAGTACATTTGTTGAGATACTTTTTAACCACGCAGCTTCAGCGGCACGCCAATGGGTTGGCCACGGGTGCGCTACGCTTGCCAGATGTTGCGGTGTGATTGCGCCCTGAAAATCTGCCCAGCATTCGTGGCTCTCCCGTGGCAAATTCGGCGTGTGAACGGGGCCACACAAATTTATAAAAGATAGCAATTTACAGGATATGTTTTACAGAGGCACTTGGATGACCATGGTGCAAAACAGAGATGGACTAGATGAGTCCTTCATTTGATGTAGAAAGCCAATTCTCATATTCCTGTAATTAAATGTGTGTGCCATCTGCAACCCGGGAAAAAGAATGATACTGAGTGGTATAGGTGGGCTATACAGAAAGAAACCATGAACAGTTGGGATGGAGGACACAAGAAGCTGTGCAGAACACTGAAACTCTGGGCCGCTTCACAAATTACGTGTGATTTGTTTTTGCTGCAACTAAATCAGTGTTGTTAACCATGGCACACAACAGGGAAGCCTTGGTTGGCCCAAAATTCCTGGGTGCACCACATGGTCCTTAGGAAGACAAGTCTGTTCTTCATTCTTTGCCAAATTTCCTGTGAGAAATACAATCACCCCTTGGCTTCAGAGATCTCCCAGGCCACATGTTGTCAAGTTTGTCATCGATTACACAAAGCCAAGAAACCGGCTTCTTTTTAAAGGAAAGCTTTGAAGTCTCAGAACATTCAGATGTTCATTTTGTCACTTGATCCCAGTAATGGCAGAGATACTACCAGTTGGTGCTAGCCCAGCTACAAAATCACAATCCAAACAGCAAGCACTAGATCACCATGGATCAGCCGGTTAGATGAAAACTGACAGAGTTTAAGCACTGCGAACTTTAGGGTATAACTACATGACATACTGTTTGCACAGGATTGTGAGGGAGGGAAAGGAGCTTCTAGTTGTCTCCTACTCTGCAATAACCAGCAGAAAAGACTTGTTGCCCATTTTCTCTGGCTCCAAGTGTCCTTCCTAAGGCACACGGAACCACAGAAAAGGGGCAAAAAGTGTGAGTTCCCCTGTTGTACATCTGACTGTGAGTCTGGCCATGCACCCATGTTCCAGCATGTGTTGGGTATATCGTGTTGCTTGGACCTCAGTATCCTTGAAACTGAAGTATAACATAAAAAAAACAAAAAAACCCAAGCAACACACGTGGATTCCTACAGAGAGTAACAACACTTGCACGCTCACTGTGCTATAAACTGATCTTGCAGAATCCCTAAGTGACAGTTTTATTTAGCATCTTCATGAATATAACTGCACGAAAATCCATTTCAAATGATGGCTCATTTGGACTGCAGTTTAAATAATCTAATACTTCAGAAGATGTTCATTAAAAATTCAACTAAATCACAATGACTTAGGCTCAGCTTTAAACAATGAACTGTTTACCCAAGTCAGTTGTGGATTTACAACCCATGGGTAAAGTGCTGTGATCAATACACACAAAAAAGGTTAAATCAGATTAGCAACAGATCAATGTGTGACTATTAGCTGGAAATATGAAAAAAGCCCAGTTGCGTGATCTGGATAGTGCTATGCAGATAGGAGATTAAGTAGCAATACTGGTTTTATTTTCTCTTTCAATTATTAAAGCAACATCTAAGCAAGCAAATCATGTTTGTATGTTAAGTGGGGAGAAAGGATCACACCCATTCAAGGTTTGTAACACCGTACTGTCAACTCAGGACATGATATTAACTTTCAACTTAATCCACAGCTCAGCTATGCTGAACTTCAACAATTCAATCAGACTGCACAGCGGCAGTTTAGATTGTAGATTAACTAATTGTTCACGTTGGAATAATTTTTCAAGGATAGGCTAAAGAAAAATGTCTAGTGACATCAAGATAATCTTCTTTTCCCTTCCCCTTTAAAACACATTAATGTAACACTTTTATGGTAGAATGTTATTCTTTCATTTACTATATATTTATTAGAATTATACTGTTTAATACCATGGTCATTATTATTATTATTATTATTATCAATCAATTAATCAATTTATTAATCGCTCAATTCTGCAGAGCTGCTGGCTCTGAGCAATTTACAGTTACACATTCACAAGGGACTAACCATGATTCATGGGGGTAAGGGAGGACAACACATATAAATCTTTAAATAGCACACGTTGGCAGCCGACGGGGATTTTGTTTCAGCTGTAGACTAGACATGTTCCAGACGACATTTTTCCCTCGGCTTGGCTTTTCTCCAGGACTGCTTCGAGTTACAACGCCGCACTGCCACCGCCTGGCCGGAACGGCCCATTACAGGCTTCTTGATGCCGAAGAGATCTTCTAGGCTTCCGATCTTACAAGCTGGACATTTCGTTCACCGGCTAACACCTCCCCCGCCGGGGGGTTTAGTGTGCCCACCCTCTCTGAGGAGTGGTACCCATTTTATCTACTCGCCAAAGCTTTCGAACTGCTGGGTGGACGGCGAGCTGGGGACAAGGCTGGTAGCTCACACCAGCACGGGGCTAGAACTGACAGCCGTTCTGTTTAGCTCAGATGTTACTTATAACCCGAGGATAAATCCCCTGTGCCATCGCTTAATATCTGTCATAGCTCTCTATAAAAGCTGGAGTGTAACCCTCACATTTGTCACGTTTTTATCTTCCTCCTCCTCCAAGTGAACTCAGGGTAGCATACATGATTTTCTCCTCTTTTATGTATCCTAACAAGAACCCTATGAAATAATTTAAATTGAGATACAGTGATTGGCCCAAAGGCACCCATGCTTAGTTCACACAGGCATGGACAAAGGGGCAGTAGTTCCTTCCAGCAGCTGCCCCTTACAGTACAAGGAATGCTGTCCAAAAGGACCTCCCCACCACTAGAGATAGCTTTCCAAAGAGAAATTGCTGGGAGGAAGGAGTCAAAGTGCAACCAGGAGCAATGCCTTCTGTTCTGACCCAATTCAAGAAATTATTTATTTACTGTATCTAGAGTCCACCTTTCTTCACTGGGACTCAAAGCGGATTGCAGAGTGTAAATTGGTAACAATTCACACAAAGAGACATTTGATAAGCACAGTATAGTCTGATACAACCAATATGAACAGTCATCAAATGAACAATGGGCAAGGGCCATCAAAATCGGAATGAGCATAGCATATCAGGAGTGAAACAGAGTGCAAATACAATTAGGAAAATGGTATCACAGCAATGGGGTCGCAAAGAGTCGGACTCGACTGCGACTGAACAAATCACAGCAATAGAAGACAATGAAATGACAACAGGGTAAATAGTGTAGAAAAATGAAAATATGTCCTATATATAGTGGTATAATCTATAGCAGGGGTGTCAAACTCATTTGTTATGAGGACCGGGTCTGACATAAATGAGACCTTGTTGGGCCGGGCCATGTGAGCCATAAAATGTAATGCCAGGTAGCAGAGATATAAACTTTATAAAGGACACAAACACAAAGGTTGGTTTTTTTACTTAAATAAAAACTTGCTTAAAACATTAGTGCTCTTTCAATATTTTGTTTATTTAACAGTGTCTGATAACTGACACCTCTTGCTCTGAATTACTGCATCAAAATGTCTGTGCTGTTGCAATCCTGAGTATGCTGTTCAGGTGTGTATCTGTAAGCTGCAAACCTACGATGACGCAGCAGCAGAACTGGAAGAAGAAACAGAAGACAGCCAGTTCCACTGCGGGCCTGATAGAAGCCCTCTGGGGGCCTGATCTGGCCCCCAGCCCGCATGTTTGACACCCCTGATCTATAGTCTCTGTCCTCCTTTATAAAGTGCCTTCCTAAACTGTCCTGTCATAGTATAGCTGTATTATGTTATAGAAAAGCTCTCTTAAACAACACCATTGTTATATATTATTCAGAAGGATAACTACTTCTAACAAGCTCTAGAGAAGTAATATTATCAACCTAAACAAAAGAACAAAGTTTGAGTCCAGTGGCAACAAAGCTTTATTCTGGGTATATTTTTGTGCGCTTTACACTTCCTTATGTGCATGCACACAAAAGCTTATACCCAGAATAAAACTTCGTTGGTCTTAAAGGTGCCACTGGACTCAAACTTTGTTCTGATGCTTCAGACCAACATGGCTACCCACCTGAATCAACCAAAACAAAGTTATGGAACCAGCCTAATTCAATCACTGTCATGTGCATTAATCAGTGACACTCTATGGCTTGGGAGCCACATGTGGTTCTTTGACATGCCACCTGGGACTCTTCTGAGCATCATTCCCCAGTGTGGCATCCACCCCAT